CACACTCTATACACACATTATATATAAGTATCTACATTTGTGTTCACCATAGCGAACCACTAAGCTGGTATGATAACTGCAGTCAATAATGATGGCCACACACAGTCAGAAGAAGACGCCACAACCCTCCCTCCACAGCCTTACTCCTCCCTCCATGGAGCACAGCGCTAAATATCACCACAATCAGTATCCTGGTCAGTTTTATCACAGTCAGGGGACTTCAGTAATACTATCACTGCTAAATAATAGCAGTATCATTTATATTATGGTATTTGTAGGCGATGCTGTGGTCACAAGCTGAACAGCGGTGCTGTGAGCTCGTGCTGCGTGCGCCAGCCTTGGTGGCTTGTTCAATACTGACGCTGTAACACCCAAGAATGTTGGCCTGGATTTTTTTCCTAGGTGGCATCTGGTAACTATTGGTCGTGGCTGTACTATAGCTGCCCCTATCCCAGGCGGGGCGTTTAAATTATAGCGCTAGACACGAAATCATATATAAATGATGTGTGTGGTTTCGGTTTTGTCACTGATATCATTTATATATGATAAGAGCGGTTTGAGGGTTAAGGGTTAAATTATTCCTTCTTTTGACGGGAAATTCGTGTCTGCATAAGCAGTTCCGTTATTATTTCCTGGGTTTATAGTGTCGTCTGCGTTCTCTTTCTATGTTGGATCTCTTTCTGGATTTCCTCAAAGGAACATTTTTTAGACAGACTTGATACGCTTCCGAAGTCAGTTTTTCTATTCCTTCTGTAAGACTTGTATTACTTAGAACAGTTTCCCATGGAATGTTTGTAAGTTCCCTGTTTATTATCTCCCAGTCTATCCTTTTATTATTAAAATTGAATTTACTGAATAGCCCCTCTCGCTTTATCAACGGTTTAGGTCTATTCTGAGCATTGATGGTTGTTTACACTTCAATGAGCTTGTGATCTGAGTATGTGGTATCTGATATCGTAATGTCTCTGATAATGTCTTCATTGTTCGTAAAGACCAGATCTAGAATATTTTCATTTCTCGTTGGCTCCGATATCTGCTGATTGAGTGAAAATTTGTCACAGAATCTAAGTAGTTCTCTAATCTGTGGTTGGTTAGGTCCTGATAGATTTCCTGGTATAATATTATTGTTTGCTATTCTCCACCTGAGACTAGGCAAGTTGAAGTCACCTAGGAAGATAATATCAGGTATCGGGTTCTCCAAATTATCAAGGCTATTCTCTATTTTGTTTATCTGTTCTGTGAATTTCTCAGCCGTTGCATCTGGCGGTTTGTATATTAGAATAATCACTAAGTTTATTTTCTCTATTTTTAATCCCTGTACCTCTACCATCTCATTTGTAACGTTAAGGAGCTCCGAGCATACAAGGTCTTTCCTAATATACAGACCCACTCCTCCATGTGACTTAATTTTCCTATCACATCTGTATAGGTTATATCCTGGAATCCAGATCTCACTGTCTAAGAATTCCCCTGCATGGGTTTCTGTGAAAGCTCCAAATACTGCATTTGACTCCGTGAGGAGGCCATTTATGAACTGTACTTTGTTGTTTGTTCTTGTTTTCAGTCCTTGTATGTTGGCAAAGATGAATGAGGTTACTCTATTAGTAATAGTTTGACTGGGAGACTTTTTCGGCAAGCCCATTATGCGTGGACATACTGAGTTTGTTCTGACCAGTACCGATTGTTGTAGGGCAGTTGCCTGTCGTAGTTGTAGTTCCCTTTTGGTGTGTAATTGTATCTGTAATTCTGGAATGCAAGTGGATCTTTCATCCAGTTCCATACACTCTCCATGCTCCTCCTTTTGAATTCTCTTTCGGTCTGGTATAAAAAATTTATAGAGTTTCCTCCAAATTCATTATCCTGCTTGCCACTCTTTATGAAGCGTTTCGTGCCTTACACATGAAAGTGGGGGCAGCTGAGGTCATAGCATTTTCTGTCCTCCAGTGAGGTTTGGCACATGTCAGGATGGAAAAACCTACATATTGATCCAAATCGACACTCACCTTTCCTAAGCATATTTAAACATTTTTTGGGATGTTAGTAAAGATTCGGTTCCAGATTGTTTTTCCAAGGCTTTGTTTTTGTTGGCATTGGCCTCTGGGGGCCGGGTAGGGGAGCTTCATGCTCTCCTCCGGCGCAGGGGTCTCTGCTCTTTTGGTCCTGGGGTTAGGTTTGTCCGTTTGCAGCCTTCTCCATCTTTTCTGGCGAAGAACGAGACGGTTGCTTTCCTGAGGGGTCCGTGGGTCATTGATGCTTGGTTGGTTCAGCCGGGGGGTGCATCATGTGTTGTGTCCGGGTGTGGCTCTTCGCCGTTACCTGCGCGCTTCAGCTGGGGTGGCTGGGGATGCGCTTTGGGTTGATCCGGTTTCCCTTGTACCCTGTTCCAGGGCTTGGGTCTCCCAGGTTGTCCACAGGGTTATTAATTGTAGCCAGCCTGCGGTCTATCCTCGCGCCCATGACGTTCGAAAGTTTGCAGCTTTGGCTGCCGTGTTTGGTAACATGTCTTGGGCTCATATTCGGGCGCGTGGATTTTGGAAGTCGAACAGGGTCCTGGCCGCCCATTATTTGGTGAACGTACCTGCTTCTCGGCGTTCTTGTGTTGCTTTGGGTCGCAGGTTGCAGCCAGTTGTCTTAACTTCGCGTTGAAGAGTTTGTGTCCGCCGCCTGCCGGATAAGTCCCTATTTTCCTTCTCTTTGGGTATGTAGCTCCAGGGAGCCATAGGGGCTCTCCACAGAAAACCAGCGTTGAATATAATGAAACACCATTTTCTGGGTGAGCCCCGGAGGCTCCCTGGCTACCCTCCCTTCCATCCGGTCGGCATTTTTTTTCTCTTTGGTTGAAGCCTAGTTTTCGAACTGAAGGCAGCCGGCACGGTGATGTCCGGGAGCCCCCTTTCCCCCTCTTGGGGAGGGGAGGGCTGCACGGACAAGTGGCGCGGCAGTAAAAATGTGATAATTGCTTGTTTGATTGTTTCCTTGGGATTGTAGGGAGTTTATACCCCTCTGTTCGGTTTTTTGTTTTAGTTTCTTACCATGTGGGGGTTTGTTTTGTTATGCCTACCTTTCTGGGTGCCTAACCCCGGTCGATGGCAGATAAGGAAAACCCCCAACCACAATGGGGTTTTCCAGGGCCATTGCTCCCTGAAACCTCTCTGAAGGGGCTAGTTTCTGGCGCTGGTCCCTGGTAGGTCTGAACTCCTTAGCTAATGTCCCGGTCTAACATAACATACATTAGCCCGATAAGCTCCAGGAAGCCTCCGGGGTTCACCCAGAAAATGGAGTTTCATTACATTCAACGCTGTTTTTTTTTTTTTTTTTGTGATCAGGTGGCTTCGTTGATGGTGTCCACCTTCGTGCTTTGTCTCGGCGGAGGTATGGGGGTTTTGCTGGGGGTCCTAATTTTCTTTTGTCTCTTCGTGGGTGTCCTGCGCTTTTTGTTGATGTGGTCTTGTCCTTCTCTCGTGGAGGTATGGGACTGTTGGCTTGACACATACTGTCGCCTTGTCTCGTGCGGCGCTGGCGGAGCCACTACAGATTGCTTTCTGTCTTGTTGTTCCTTCTGCACTTTTTCATGAGCTGTTTTGGGCGTTGTTTGCCTCCGGCCTGCTCATGCTCCACATGAGCCGTCCTGGCCTTGGACGGTGTGCTCTTGTTTCTGTCATCGCCTCGGTTTGTTGTGGCCCCTTCGGTTCAGGTTTGTTTTTTCAACACTTTCTTGTTCGTTTGCAGCCATCTCTTTCTTTACTGGCGAGGAATGACTCTGCTGCTTTCTGCAGGGATCCTTGGGTTGCTCTTGGTTGGTCAGGCTGGGGTTGCATTTTGTGTTGTCCGGTTGCGGCCCTCTGCCGATATTTGTGCGCCACGGCTTCTGTGTCCAGGGACAAGCTTTGGGTTGATCCAGTTTCCCTTCCCTCCTTCCCGGTTCTTGGGTGCGGGTGTCTCTGGTCACCAGCAGGGCTATTCAGTCTAGCCAGCCTGAGGTCTATCCCCGTGCCCATGACGTTCGTATGTTTGCTGCGCTTGCTGCCATCTTTGGTAACATGTCCTGGGCTGACATTCGGGCACAGGATTTTTGGCGGTCTACCAGGGTCTTGGGTCGGCAGTTGCAGCCTGTTGTCTTGACTTCAGGTTGAGTTGTGAGCACCGACCGCCTCCTGGGTGGGTCCCTTTCCTTTTTTGTCTTTGGTGAAATAGCTCTGGGGAGGCATAGGGGCTCCCCCAAGAAAACCAGCATTAAATGTAATGAAACGCCATTTTCTGGGCGAGTCCCGGAGGCTCCCTGGCAACCCTCCCTCCCTCCGGTCGTCGGTTTTTGCGTATTTTGATATCCAGCCTCAGAACTGGGGTGTAGATCGCCGAGCTGTGCAGACATGCAGTGCGGCTCGTGTGACGTCATACTCGTTGGCTTGTTTTCAATTGGGGTTCTGTCCTCTTGTTTGTCCATTTTCGTCATTTAAACCAGAATAGAGGTTTGTTTTGGGGTGCTTACCTTTCTGGTTGCCTGTCCCGATCGATGGCAGATATAGAATGCTCCAAAATTACATGTGCAGTTCTATTGGTCATTGCTCCTCATGCCCCTCTGAGGGGGGCCAGGTTCTGGCTTGTGGTCCCCGGTAGGCCTAGAACTCCACCCACATCGACCTGATGTGGGTGGAGTTAGGGATAGCCTTATCAGCCTGAATAGCTCTGGGAAGTCTCTAGGACTCGCCCAGAAAATGGCGTTTCATTACATTCAACGCTGGTTTTATGTTAACATTAGCATTCAGTATTATTTGTATAATAATATTGTATAATAATAGAACTCCATCGATAGGTCTCTTCCCCTCATTGTAAAAAATTACAAATAATTACAATCTCTTCCCCTCATTGTTCATCTGCAAGTAATTAAAAAATTACTTGCAGGTGAACTATTAAATGCTCCTTATTGATCCTTCCCTTCATATTTACTGTACTGAAAAATAATGATTTACCGCATGTGTTAAAATAGTTAATCATTACAGGTTAGGAAGCAGAACTGAAGTCATGACTTTTTATATAAAACCTCCAGAAGGAAATATCTCACTTTCTAAACTACGCCAAGATGCAGAAACCCGACTTCTCTTTCTCTTGCAAGTATGTGATCAGTTGGTTAAATGTACTAGTTTATATTACTGTACACCCATATGGAGGGTAGAAATAGCCTAAGCTACTCGATCCTTTTGAGATATATCTTAGGCATTAGGCAACCCATACTCATTATAATTCAACCTGTCCTCGACCCAAGTCCTTTCCGGGTGCCTGACCTGGTCAGGCACCCGGAAAGAGACCTGGCAAACATAGATGGCTTCCAATTACATGGAGTGTCTATAGGCCATTCCTCCTCTTGCCTCTCTGAGGGGGGCCAGGTTCTGGTGCTGGTGCCCGGTAGGCCTAGAACTCCATCGATTGACTGTTGCCACGGTCTAATATATACATATCAGCCCGGTATAGCTGTGGGGAGCCTCTGGTTCTCACCCAGAAAATGGCATTTCATTACATTCAACGCTGGTTTTTTGCTGTTATTACACTATATGCACACGTTCAGTACTCTCTCTGTTCTGCTGATCAGTCCAGAGTTTGATTTTTCTGTTCTACTGATCAGTCCAGAGTTTGATAGCTTGCTCTGCTACTTTATTCTCTTCGAATCCCAACCTCCTAACCTAGTCATGGTATTCCTCTAAGGTGAATAAGTGCAAGCCTGTAATACCTATTCCTTGAGCTGGCGTCGTCCACAAGGACCTTTTGGGCAGAGATTCTTCACCGTAGGATACCCCCATCGGAGTATTTGAAGGGCTAGATTCCTGCGTGACTCCGTTTTTCTCTCGCAGCGTGCGTGATACTAGTGACATCATTCTTGGTGATGTCACCCACCAGGGTCTCTACCATCAAGCTGTTTCTCACTGGTGTCTTTCCCACTGTGTTATCTCTCACTGGGGTCTCACCACCGATAGCCTCATCCAGTGTGATGAGAATTGTGCAGGCCACCTCAGTACTACCCTGCATGTCCGCCTGTAGCATCACCTTTTCCACGGCCCTGTGCTGCTCCACTTATTCCTTACACTCTTGTTCAGTAAGAATGTCGTAGTCGTCAGGTCTACGAGTAGTCTAGGCCAAGCGAAGCTACACACACACACCACCACATACTGGTGGTGTATGTACTTAACAGGGCGTTAAACATCCTTTGAATACTGCTCGTCACTTTTGAAATTTTCAAGGAAAATTTAAGTGCGAAACTTTACAACCTAGCTCTAGGTTCCAACTAAGCCAATCACATTGGGTACCAGATGTGGGGGTTTTCTATTTCACTTTCCCGACTGCAATGCGTATGTCACCAATGTGTATATGGCAGACGCCTCATGGAGCTGTCGGAATCCAGCAGAGAAAATAAGAGGGCAGGCGTACAGGGCCTGGGAGCAAGGTCGAATTAGAGTCCTTGATGGTCTCTTCTCAGACTAACCTCACCTGGTCCTGATCCACGTTGGTCGTTGGAATCTCCTCAATGCTTGAAACACTTTAAGAGACTCCAAGAGTCCTCATCACATTTATAGATTAGTGAATAATAGGCAACTCGGTGTTGAAGACACCTGGGGCTGAATGCTTAAGTAATAGTTGGCAGTATTCAGAAGTGGTTCAACGAAAACACCGCATAAAGCTTAACAGTAGTTTATTTACAAACTTAACCACTAGTACAATGGGTGCTTGATTTACTTTAGATTGACGTCAGAAAGGGTATGGTTGCATTAGCGAGACTCTTGACATCTGACTAATCGATTCTGATCCACTCATGGAGAAACACCTAACTTTACACAATTGATAGTCAATCATTAACACCGCAAACCTAACTGCCAGTGTGCACCGCAAACTTAACTGCTGGTGTGCAAAGGGTCACAGGAGTTCCAACAGGATACTCTAGTAATGATGATGCGCAGTAGCTAACAATGGCACTGTCAATGGGACAGGCAATAATCATGCAAAGTCACACAATAACTAAATGTGTGGTATATGTGAAACTCACATTCACAGATGAGTGTAATGTCATGGTACCACACAGATAAACACGCATACACCGTTAGGTGTCTCCACCAATACCTGGGTCAGGTATGAGAAGGTGAGAACTGTGGGTGATCCCTCAGATCAACACAGACTTTATTGACACAATTATTGACACAATAGTAAAATACAAGATCTTGAATTTACTGGTAGGCTACCTCTCCCATTTACTCACTCGTGCACATTTATGCAAGAACTCGTAGGTGGCCTGACAGCTAGCTTTGCTCATTACGATGTGAGACACTGACGACAAGCTTTCCCAACAAACTGTACTTGACACGGAGGGTACTCGCATATGAGGGCATGCTGTATGCCTAACAGACACATGCATACACCTTTGATGGCACTGGCGGTGAGTAAGGTGGTGACGTCACAAAGTACTGCGAGTGGCGGTGGCTGGCGGCGGCTGGCGGCGGCTGATTACAGTACAACCTCGATTCAACGTACTATATGGGACCGACCCCAGTTCGTTGGAGCGTTGGATTCGTTGCAAGAGGTGACCTTCAGGAGGCGTTTGCATCAGTGTCTTTATTTTTCTTGTAGACAATAAAAATGCATTATCATATTATATACTGTACCTATATATTATTACTCTACTAACAAATACTGTTACATTTGTTATTTACCTTACTGTTGGAGTTAAGTCCATCTTGAAGTCTCATGGAGTTGTGAATGCTGTACAGTAAATACATACAGTACTGTAGTGTATTATGCCGTTAACACTGTGTTGAGTAGTTCTGTTGTATGTTGAGTACTACAATAAAGTTTATGAAAACTATTGTACACTAAAATTACTGCAACTTTAATTTTAACACTATATTTTGATTTGTCAAGAGGCTGGAGCGTTCATTCCACGACTTTATTGGACATATCGGCACAATCAAGGAACATCCGTGCACCATGTTGGCTCCAAATGAACTCATTGTGTCAGTAATGGCTGACTGGTGGGTGGATGGGCAGGCAGGCAGGCAGGCAGGGAGGGAGGCAGGCAGGCAGGCAGGCAGGGAGGCAGGCAGGCAGGGACGGAGGGAGGGAGGGAGGCAGGCAGGCAGAGATTGGGAGGGGGTAGGCAGGAAGAGAGGCGGGCAGGCAGAGCTTGTGAGGGAGAGGCAGGGAGGGAGGCAGGCACGGAGGGAGAGTGGCACAGAGGGAGGCAGGCAGAGCTTGGGAAGGAGGCAGGGAAGGAGAGGATGGAAATGGATTGATGGAAGGATGGAGGGAGGGATGGAAGGATGGATGATTTGAGGGTGTGTGTGTGTGTGTGGGCTGTAGGGGTGGGGGGGTGGGGAAGGTGTGTCGGTGGTGGTGAAGGGACCAACTCGACTCTGTGATAACCCTAACTCTGACCCAGTTAACTTTTTTTTTTAACTTGATTTGTTTCTTCAATTCTGGATGGATGGAGGGAGAAAGGGGATGGATGGATGGAGGGAGGGGATGGATGGATGGATGGAGGGGGGGATGGATGGAGGGAGGGAGGGGATGGATGGATGGATGGAGGGAGGGGATGGATGGAGGGAGGGGATGAATGGATGGATGGAGGGAGGGGATGGATGGATGGATGGAGGGGGGGATGGATGGAGGGAGGGAGGGGATGGATGGATGGATGGAGGGAGGGGATGGATGGAGGGAGGGGATGAATGGATGGATGGAGGGAGGGGATGGATGGATGGATGGATGGAGGGAGGGGATGGATGGATGGATGGATGGAGGGAGGGGATGGATGGATGGATGGAGGGAGGGGATGGATAGATGGATGGATGGAGGGAGGGGATGGATGGATGGATGGATGGATGGATGGATGGATGGATGGAGGGAATGGATGGATGGATGGAGGGAGGGGATGGATGGAAGGATGGATGGATGGGAGGGGGGATGGATGGATGGATGGAGGGAGGGAGGGAGGGAGGGAGGGAGGGAGGGAGGGAGGGGATGGATGGAGGGAGGGAGGGGATGGATGGATGGATGGATGGATGGATGGAGGGAGGGGATGGATGGATGGAGGGAGGGGGATGGATGGATGGATGGAGGGGATGGATGGAGGGAGGGAGGGGATGGATGGATGGAGGGAGGGAGGGGATGGATGGATGGATGGATGGAGGGAGGGGATGGATGGATGGAGGGGATGGGTGGATGGATGGAGGGAGGGGATGGATGGATGGAGGGAGGGGATGGATGGATGGATGGATGGAGTAAGGGAGGGATGGATGGATGGAGGGGATGGATGGATGGATGGAGGGGATGGATGGATGGATGGAGGGGATGGATGGAGGGGATGGATGGATGGATGGAGGGGATGGATGGAGGGAGGGAGGGGATGTGGGGAGAGAGAGAGAGAGAGAGAGAGAGAGAGAGAGAGAGAGAGAGAGAGAGAGAGAGGGGGGGGGGGGGGGGGGGGGGAGAGAGGGGGAGGGAGGGAGGGAGGGAGGGAGAGGGAGGGGGGGGAGGGAGAGAGGGAGGGAGGGACGGAGGGGGAGAGAGGGAGGGATATGAAACAAGCATGGTGTGTGTACAGGGATTAGACCCGTCCACTTGCTCACGCTGGAGTTGTTCCAATAACAAATAATTTCTCAAATAGCAGATGTCTATCATATTACAGTATATTTTCGGTTTTATTTAGTTTAGTTTAATTAGGATAATAAAAAGCTATTAAAGCATTGGTTTTAGAAATGATTTATTAGTCTGAAACTTTCAAAGTCATGGGTCACTGAACTATAACAACACAGATGAAGGAAAACCAAGTGAGGTTTACAGAACAGTATTCCCTTATCTGTCCACCCTCACTCACCTTGTTTTATCACAGAAAATGTCTATAAGGAGATTTTACGGAGGGAGGCAGGGAAGGAGAGGATGGAAATGGATTGATGGAAGGATGGAGGGAGGGATGGAAGGATGGATGATTTGAGGGGTGTGTGTGTGTGTGTGGGCTGTAGGGGTGGGGGGGTGGGGAAGGTGTGTCGGTGGTGGTGAAGGGACCAACTCGGATGGATGGAGGGGATGGATGGAGGGAGGGGATGGATGGAGGGGGGGATGGATGGATGGAGGGA